TGCCTATGGATAAGATAGCCTCTCGCCGCTCAAACCACTGGAAGCCGTCATAGTAAGATCTGCACGCTGCACTCCCGAAGGTCGGTACGACCCGCCCCTCCGTGCCCCCCGAGGCGAGGACGACGAGCCATGCGTGCCGACGGGACTAGGTCCCGAAGGCCGGTGCGACTCGCCGCCACGTGCCCCAGAGAGCTGAGGTGACGAGCCATGCGTGCCGACGGGAGTAGGTACAACCACTGGTAGTTCAGACAGGGGCAGATCGTCCAGAGAACAAACCTGATTGTTGAACAGCCGTGGCATCACAAAGTATACGAAAGAATCAACTGCTTTCCTCCATCGCGGCCTCAGCGGCAGCGGCATCCTGGGCCTCCTGCATCTCGAGGAGGGGTGCCCATGGGTGTGCCTGCGGAGTGCCTGGGGCAGCGACATTGGCTTGAACTGCGGACTGCAACTGCGCAAGCTGGTCCTGAGGGGTCTGAAGCATGGTCGGAGAGCTGCCTGCAAGTATCGCCGCAGAAGCACCTGCCACCACCGTCTGGAGTCGGCCCATGGCTTCCTGTACGGATAGTACATCTGATCCAGCAGGCTGGGCGGTGGCAGCGAGTACGGCTGTCCTGGCCAGATGCATCTCGGACTGGATGTTCTGCAACTCCGTGGTGGCCTGGACGAGCGCCGACTTCTTGTCACCAAAGCTTGGTTTCCAACTCAGCGACTGCTTTGGTAAGTTCATCCACCTCTTTGGATTTGGCGGTCTGCCTGTCCAGATATCGACGAAACATATCGTCTGGTGTCCGATGAGCTTGCTCACGCTCCTCGGCCACTTGTAGATCACGTCGAGCTTGTTGGACAACTGGAGCGTCGTCACCCAGCCCGCACTTCCGCAAGGCCGCCAATGCTCGCCGTGCCTGGGCAACTCCATCAGCGGGGCTGGATGCACCGCTGCTGTCACCGTCAGGTTTCTTATCCTTGTCCTTTCCTCCAGAGTCTCGGGGACGGGAGGGAGGTCTTCGTGAAGGTGGTCGCTTCCGTGGCACAAAACTGGGATCAGGTACACCACGACGGTCGCGACCGCACTGATAGCAATTATCGTTGCTGGCGTAATTGCCCTGGAAGCCGCACTGGCGTGTCGCCACGCATGCCCATCTCGGCTCCTTCTGGACTTCTGGCCTTCGACCTCGTCGGGCACCATTCCCGTCAGCGTCGGGGGCGGCACCGCGCATGAGAGGCTCCTGAGACCCGTGATGCTTATTCAATAAGGCCCGCAGCTTTGCAATCTTCAAGAAGCGCCTGGCGTCCGCACGAGCCCGACGACGGGCCCGATGCCAGGCAGGTGAACGAGATCGCCCTGCGGGTATGATGTATGTCGACCCGTGCGTGGGCGCGCACGAGCCTGGGGCGGGCAGTGCAGTATCAGGCAGTGCAGGAAAAACGCACCGCAGGGAAAAGTCTCCCACGGCCTAAGCCCACGCCTGAGGAGAAGGAGGAGGAGGAGGAGGAGGGGGAGGAGGAGGAGGAGGAGGAGGAGGAGGAGGAGGAGGAGGAGGAGGAGGAGGACTAGGAGGACGAGGCGGAGAAGGAGGAGACGCGCGCCTCCGATTCAGAACGAGGACCCAACAACCAGGAGGGCTGGGAAAAGCTGCACCGCCAAGATCTCAGGAGTGAGGCACGCACGCAACCACCGATCCTGGGCCCAGGACGGGCCCTGCCAGGGACGGCTACAGGAGTCTACGCCGCTGCCCTCCGACAGCCCGCCGGCGCCGCCGAACAACCGCCGCGGCGCCAGCGCGCCGCGCGCGCGCCGGCGGCGGCCCCGCCACGAGGCGGCCGCGAGCGCGCCCGCACTGGCCCGGCCACCCAGCGTCGGCGCACCCGCGCGCGGCGCGCCTGTCATCGCAGCAACCGCCAAGGTCTCTGGCGTCGCCGTCGGCGTCGGCGTCGGCGTCGATGTCGTCGTGGTCGGCGTCGGCGTCGATGTCGTCGTGGTCAACGTCGTCGTCGATGTCGTCGTGGTCGAAGACGTCATCGTCGGAGTCAGCGTCGTCGTGGTCAGGGTCGTTGTCGTGTTCGTCGTGTTCGTCGTCGTCGTCGTCGCCGTCGGTGTCGGCGTCAGCGTCGGAGTCGTCGTCGACGTCGTCGGCGTCAGCGTCGCCGTCGGGGTCGATGTCGTCAAGGTCGACGTCGTTGTCGTTGTCGGCGGCGGCGGCGGCGGAAGCGGCGGCTTCGGCGGCTTCGGCGTCGGCGTCGGCGTCGACGCCGTCGTTGTGGCCGTCGTCGTCGGTAACGGCGTCGGCGTAGGTGTCGTGGTCGACATTGTCGCCGTCGTCGTCCCGCGCGACGCTCCCGCGCGCGGCGCGCCTGTCATCGCCGCTGCCGCCGACTTCTCTGGCGTCTCCGTTTGCGTCGCCACCGTCGAAGTCGACGTCGTCGTCGGCGTCGTCGTCGACGTCGCCGTCGCCGTCGATGTCGTCATGGTCGACGTCGGCGTCCATGAAATCGTGGTCGACGCTGTCGTCGATGTCGTCATGGTCGGCGGCGTCGACTTCGAAGTCGGCGTCGCTGTTGTCGTCGTCGTCGCGGTCGTCGTCGTCGTCGTCGTAGACGGCATCGTCGTCGGCGTAGTCGTCGGCGTCGGCGTCGATGTCGTCGAGGTTGACGTCGTCGTCGTCGTGTTCGTCGTCGTCGTTGTTGTACTCGTTGGCGGCGGCGGCGTCGGCGTCGACGTCGGCGTCGGCGCGGCGTCGGCGTCGGCGTCGGCGTCGGCGCGGCGTCGGCGTCGGCGTCGGCATCGGCGTCGGCATCGGCAGCGACCTCGTCGGCGTCGGCGTCGGCGTCGGCGTGAATGTCGTCGATGTCGTCGAGGTCGCCCTCGTCGTCGGCGTCGTCGTCGTCCCCTAGACCATTCTGGGGAGTGGGGGCCTGTGAAGGTCGTCGTCGTCGTCGTCGCCGCGCCCGACCCCGCCGCGCTGCCGCAGGCCCCCAGGGACGGCCCGCCGCCTGCGCCGCGCCGCGGCGGCGGGGCCCCCGCGGGGCCGGCGGCGGCCGCGGCGGCGGGGCGGAGGCCGCCGAGGCGGGGCAGCACGGCGGCGGGCCGCGCGGGCGGGGCGCCGCGGCCGCGCTGCGGCGCCACGGCAGCGGTCATCGCGCGCCCCGAGGGGCGCTCGGCGCCGCTGCCGCTAGGCGGGCGCCGCGGCCGCGCTCGGCAGAGGCTGCCGCGGCCGGCATCGGCGTCGGCGTCGATGTTGACGTTGGCGTCTGCGTCGGCGTCGGCGTCGTCGGCGTCGTCGTCGTCGGCGGCGGCGTCGGCGTCGGCCGCGGCGTCGACGCCGGCGTCGTCGTGGTATGGCAGGGCGTCTGCGGCCTGCGCTACTCCATGGTAGCCACCAGCCGCGCACGCATCGTACGAGAGCGGCGCCGGTGCACGGACAAACCCATGTCCGGACGCCCTCGAGGCCCCGCTCCAGCGCGGTGGGGTGCACCGTTTCTCGGCCATGCGCCGCGCCGTTCCTGGGTCGAGAGGATCGGCGACGCCTCGAGAGGCACCACGGTGGTGCGGAGCACGCGCGTCGTCCGCGGAGCTATGCCGTGGCAGCCACGCGACGGCAGAAGTGCCAACGCTTCAGGTAGGCTGCATCGGGCCCCCCTGGCGGGCGGGTGCGTCGACCACTGCACGCTGCAGCACCGCGCGGGGCGGCTGGGCTGCGGCCTGCACCGCGAGCGGGCCCCGCCGGAGGGCTGGTTGCGCGCCGGCGAATGTATGTCCACGCCGTCCCAGTCTGGACTCTTGGGCGCGATCCAGTGGATATGCGGTGTCATGAGTACTGCGGCTCCGCGAGGGGCATCCGCGCGAAGACGCCTGGACACGGGTATGTTTCCGGCCCGCGACAGAAGGCTGCCTCAGGATGCTTTCCGGAAATTGCAGGATTTCTGACGGCCGCTGCCCCTTGCTCACTCGCGAATGACCATTCGTAATGGGCCGCGCGGGGCGACAGGAGAGCGAGGAAGTCTTGGGACTCGGGACGCATCATAAACATATGGGCACCCAAAAACGTTTTCACCTCTTGGGGGCGCATCTTTTACTTCCGCCGCCTTCCGCCGCCCTTGCGCCGGCTTCCGCCCGCTTCCGCCGGCGGAGGCGGCCTCGTTTTACTTCCGCCAGCCTTCCGCCGCCCCTCCGCCGCCCTTCCGCGGCAGCAGAGACGACAGCCCACTCGATCCTCGAAGGCAAGCCCCTTTTTGGAGCGCCCCGCATGACTTCTCGTTGCCCCTCTGACTTTGGAGCCGCGTGTGTCGCGCTCATCGCCCGCGGGGCCTCCCCTCCCCCCAAACCCGCGGCGGCCGCTCGGAAGTGCCCTGCTCGGGGGTGGGTGGCGGGCGCGGAGAGCTGGGGCGGAGGGCCGGGGCAAGGGCGACAGGCTGGCAGTGGAGCAGCGGGGCGGTGGGTGCGAGGACGGATGCGAGGAGGGGAGACGGAGAGGCGGGGCTGAGAGGGGGGGGGGGGGGAGAGGAGGACGGCGAGGAGAGGGGAACCGCGGGGAGGAGAGGGAGAAGCGGGGGGGTGAGGAGGAGCAGACGGTGAGGGGACAGGTCAGGGACAACGGGGAGAAGAGGCAGGAGGCGTGCACATGGGGAGGAGGAGGAGGAGGAGGAGGAGGAGGAGGAGGAGGAGGAGGAGGAGGAGGGGGAGTAGGGGGAGGAGGGGGAGGAGGAGGAGGTGGAGGAGAGGAGCGGGGGGAGCCTCTTGCTTCTGCCTCCGAGGGCCCAGGGCCGCGAACACACAGGCGCTGGACGAGAGGCAGGTCCCCGGGGAAGGGGTCGGCACCTCCTTTGGGCTCCACACGCTGTGGAGCAGCGCGTGGGGAGAATGTGTTTGTTTTGTTTTGTTTGTGAAGGGGGACCAGGGACACACAGAGCAAGACACACAGATCCCAGGATTCCCCCAACCTTTCCCACATCTTCTGGACGTTCGTCTTCTCCCCCCACCTCCCATGTGTTCGCACCTTTTCCGGAGGATCGACGATTCAATGTATCTCCGTTCTCTTTTTTCGGGCGGGGCGGGGATCGGCCCGTGCGACCGGACATCCGCGACCGGTGCCCGCTGTCTAAGGAAGTCCTGCTACAGCGCTTGATAAAAACAAGCCAGCTCTGATCGAGTGCGCTCCTTGCCCTCATGGTGGATGGCTCCATGCGGCGTCAGGCAGAGCACCCGAGCAGACACGCAACTCCTTCCTACACCCGGGGGAAGCCTCGTCTCGCCTCCCACCCCCCCGGCCCCGTCGGGCCGCCCGAGCAAAGCACCGAGGCGCTCGTGCGGCCCCGAAGGCGCACGCGCCGCAGCCCTACGTCGAGGAACGCGGTGCAGCCAGGGCGCTCCAAACAGCACGCTTCGGCGCAAGGCGTCCCATCAGCTGCCTGTAACGCCGCCAAGTCGCCCCATTCCAGCGCCGACTCGCCACCGCAGTGCGACCCGATCGTGAGGAGGCAGGGCAAGGATGCAAGGCCACGCGACGCCACAGCGGAGCCAGAAGCTGGACGCCCGCAGACCATGGCCGAGGGCGAGGATGGGCCGAGAGGACAGGATCCCAGAGATCGACTCAAGATTCTGGGACCCAGCAAAAACTGTGGGACCGAACAACAACTGTTGTACAACAAATCTTGGGACGAGCAACATTGTTCGCCCGGTCCCAAAAAGGTGTTGCTCGATCCCAACAAATGTTGTATATTGGTGTCCTCAATGCGGGGTCCCCCAGAAGTCCCGACCCTTTCGACTACACGTGAGTGTCCCTGGGTAAGGAGTGACCTTTGGTGCGCGGCGCCTTAGGGACCGCGGGGGGAACCAACCACAAGCGCTCAAGACGCCATGACCGCATCGCGTTCGGCGATCGGGGGAACCCAATGGGCCCGCACCAACGGTCCCTGCGGCGAGGGGTCACCCTCACGCGTAGTCGACCCTCCTCCAGGGACAGTGTTTGTTCATCCCGAGTTGTGTGTTGACGGTCCGTGGGTCCCGCAAGGGCCCACGGAGGCCGACAACGACAAAACAACTCGGAATTCAACTTCCAAGACAAGGCGTTGATGATTCCGCGGCCGCTGCAGAGCAGCAGCAGCAAGACACAGAGAAACAACGCCCAGAACTGCACCCTGGCGTGAAGCCCTCCTCCTCCGCCGCCTCCTCCTCGACCTCGCCCTCCTTACCCTCAGTCACCTCCTCCTCACCCTCGACCTCCTCACCCTTCCTCCTCGCATATCGCCCTCCCCCTCCTCCTCCTCCTCCTCCTGCTCCTCCTCCTCCTCCTTCTCAACATCCACCTCTTCCTCCTCCTTCTCCTTGCTGACCGCCCTCCTCTAGGATGCAAGGGCACCCTTGACTATGAGGAGCATCCTGGAGGCCTCGCGCAGAGCGCACTAAATTGTACCATCTAACCCACAAACACCCTCTCCGTCAGATCGACGGGTCGGCGTTTCCGCAGCGAGACTCCGACTTAAGCCTGATGCAAATCCGACGTGGTGGAGGAGGATGATGACGACGACGAGGAGGAAGCGGAGGCGGAGGAGAAGGAGGAGGGGGAGGAGGAGGCGGAGGAGCAGGAGGCGGAGGACAAAGAGGGGGAGGAGGAGGCGGAGGAGGAGGAGGATCCAGCGTCATCCGACGTGGATCCGAGACAAGGTGGGGCTCGAATAGCCGCGCAAGGCCTCCAAGAGTTCCCTCGGAACTTTGGGACCCCAGACCCCCGAAGTCGACTCCCGAAGTCATGATTGTTTCATGGCGTCGACCCCCAGAGGTCTCGGCCCATTCCCCGGACTGGCCTTTCATCCTGAGTCGTGCTCTGAGGGCCCCGAGGCCCAGGAAGAGCCCCCAAAAGGCGGACATAAAAAGAGACACCCTCCACCGTGATTTGTTCATGGCTCGAGGGGGTCTGGGACAGTTGGTGGGCCTGTTTTCCACCACCACCACCACCACCGAAAGTAGGAGGGGGAGAGGGGTCCTCCTCCTCCTGCTGCTCCTCCTGTTCCTCCTTTTCCTCCTCCTCCGTCTCCTCATCCCCTGCCTCCTTCCCCGCTCCAACTTCTGGTGGTGGTGGAAAGCAGGCCCATCAACAGCTACCCATCGGTCGGAAGAAGTAGGTAGAAACATAAAGTAGGAAGGCGTTGGAAATAGATTGGGTTTCCGCCCGCCTCCTGAAGAGGAAGGAAGAGGGAAAACCACTCGACTCTTGAAGTAGGAAGGCGCTGAAAGTAGATTGGAATCTGGGAATCCAAAAATACCTACTTTCAACGACCGGTGGGTACTTCTCCCCGCGATGTGGCCCTGCGGCGGCTCGTCCTCCGTGCTGCGGTCTCACTGCGTCGCTCAGCGCCTCGACGCGCCCTCGGGCGCGCCGCGGCCGGGGAGGCCCACGCCGATGCCGCAGTGCCCGCGGCAGCCGCCGGTCCAGGCGGTGGACACCGGCCCGGAGCCGTGGGGGCCGTCGGCGGGCTCCTGTCCCAGGCCCCCTCGAGGCATGAACAGAATCACGAGGGTGTTTCGCTACAGTGCGGGCGCGGGCGCAAGAAACCCTCGCGAGGCGCCCAGCCCCGAAAGCCGGCGCGCGAGGTGCACCTGAAGGAGAAGCTGGAGCACCCTGAACGCAGCAACTGCTCTGACTGCCGCGGGAGGTCACCACGCAGCGAGCGGAGCGAAGAAACCGTGGGTACCGGGACGGAAAGCAGATGGTTTCTTGATGCACGCCCCCACTGTATTTTCAACCTTGAAGGGACCTCACGGGGCTTCGGGGCCGCCAAAAAGCACGACTCGGGAAGAAGAAAACGGGGCAATGGGAGGGGGGGGGGGGGGCGAGGCCTCCGGGGGGTCGGCGGCGCGAGAACGAGTCCGGAGGTCGGAGGTCGGAGGTCGGAGGGAGGTCTGGGGGCGGTGGACAGGAACCCCTCCAGCAGAGCGCCCTCCCCCGAGAGCCTGGCGCCGCAGTGGCTTCGCCACGGGCGATGCCGCCCCAGCCTCGGGCCCGACGGGCCCTCACAGCGCCCCCCCGGCCCGACGGGTGCCGCAGAGAGGCAAGCACTACAGGACTCTGGTGGGGGAGCCAAAAGGTACCGATGCCGCTGCTCTCCGGGCCTCTCCCTGGCCATCGCTCGGACGTCCATTCCTGGTGTTTTTTTTATCCCGGTTTCGTGCGTGGTTTTTTCGCCAGATGGTCGAAGATGCTCCTCGAAGGTCCTCGCCGAGGAAAAAAATGCACACGTCCGATCGATGCCAAGCTCCTGTGCTTAGCGCTTAGCCGCCCCGAGGTGCAGAACCCCACCCGCAGCGTGCTGACGCTGTGCTCGGCACGCGGATGGAACACGTCCGTCTGGCGCGGCGGCACGTTCGCCAAATCGTGGGCCAGCACGTGGGGCCAACACGCAGCGGGTCAACACGGACGTCTCGAACACGGCACGGGCTGCGTTTCAACACGGGCGTCTCACAGCAGCTGCGCTCCCGTGGTGCGTTCTGGCGAGGATTTCGAGGCGGATCCAACGGTGGCGACGAGGGCGTCCGAGAAGGCTCGGAGATGGGAAGCCGCCGGGGAGAGGGTAGCGGTAGCGGTATTGGTGCCCTTGAGTCCTCCGATGTCACGTTAACGTTAAGCGAACATGAAAACATGAAAACATGACCTTGCAGGGGGATGTTGGATGACAAAGGAATAATATAGATATACATATATATATATATATACACCGAAAAACAGGAATACAAAACAAACAGTTCCCAGGCTATCTCTGACCTGTTTTCAGATATTCCTCCTGTAGAGGGACAGGCGCGACTTACATTTAACGACAGTTGCCAAGGGCACTCCGCATGCGCTGGGCACCGCGTTCCGAATGGGCCCCAGCGGGTAGCTCATCGACGTCCAAGAACAGGCGTGCGCATCGGGCAGTTCAAGACGAACGTCGATTCGCGAGACCGACGGGGGACGGCACAGCCACGCTCGAATGCCAATGTCGAGGGCAGATCTCCTCAGTCGACTTGTCTTGGGAGCGTACCCCAGACCCCCATCGAGTCACGAAGAAATCACGACTGGATTCACACAAAAAACTGTTTGGCCTATGGAGGCCGTCACTGGGCCCTCGGGGCCGTCAGAGAACAACTCAGGATTAAAAGCCAATCCCGGGAAATGCGACGAGACCTCTGGGAGTCAAAGTTATGATGAAATCATAACGTCGGGGGTCTGATTCTGTCAATGCCCGATCCTTGCTCATGTACCACATCTCGCACTGGTGGCAATACAGACTTTCCAGCTCCTGGGCAGAGATCAGTCGTGAGGGGCACCGATCGGGGAGACGATCTGAAGAAGATCCTGGAGTACTCGTGCGGAAACGTGAGACCCAATGTACGTCGGGTTCACGTCGGATGTACGTCGGGTTCACGTCGGACCCGCGTCGGACTTACGTCGAAGCGTCCCCGCGCGGACGTCGACTCATAGCTCACGGAGCGGACGCGCAGACCAGGCAGTCGATGGTAGAGCTAGCGCGCGCCGCGCAAGGCCGTGGGCATGTTCCCCATGAGGGGAACTGGCGGACTAGCTCCCGGGGGGAGGCATCGACCTGGGATCGTCGATCGATCGGCGAGAGGTCCCGATGGCAGAGCGGCACGGTCCTGGACGGGGTGCTACGTCGGGAACCTGTCGGCAGCGACCACGGCGCTTCGGGGGGTCGACGCCTCGCCCCCCCGACCCGACTCCCCCCCCGCCAACGCTGCCCCCGGTGGCCTGGACTTCGGCAGCCCGGAACGATTACGACGAGAAGGGTACGATGCCAAACAGCGAAGATTGTCCAACACCGCTCGCGTCCGCTGTCGGGCAAGCGGCCTTCGTCTCAGATGGGCCACGTCCGAGGCCGCTGTTGGGCAGGGGGGCTTCTGTTTCGAGTGGGCAACGTCCGTACCCAGTTCGATTGCACCGATGGATCAGTCAGCATCCGATCGGATCGAGCCGGCCGGAATCAATGGCGAATCAGATCGATCGGGTTGAAATATGGACACGGTCCTGGGACCCCTCCCTCACGACGAATGCTTCGAGCAGCTCTGGAGAGGCCCCCATGTGCTCGACCATCAGCTTCGCGTCGTCCATCAGCACCGTCGCGCCTGGGCTGAAGTCCTAGAGGAGCGAACAACTACACGAGCATAACATGTCGGAGGTCCGCGCGGACTCCTGGGATCTACGCTGACCCCCCTCGCTGGCGCGCGGAGAGCGCTAGGAGCGGCGCCGGAGGCGGCCCCAGGCCGGCCCAGCGCCGATCCACGAAATCCGCGCGGAGCGCCGAAAGTTTGTGTCCTTGTCGCGTGTTTCGGCTACACACAAGAGTGACCCTGGGTAAGGGTGGCCTTTGGTGCGCGGCTTCTGGGGGGCCGCGTGGGCACCAAACACAAGAGCGCAAGACGTTACCACCGCATCGCGCTCGGCGATCGGGGGACCCCAGTGGGCCCGCACCAGAGGTCACTCCGGCGAAGGGTCACTGTTACGTCTGGTCGACCGGTTCTGGGTCCAAGTGGTCCATGACCTCCGAGATCTCGGAGACGCTCTCCATGAAGTGTGCGCTGGGGCCGTGGATCTCGTCGTGGATGAACCTCAGCAGGTCGACCACGGCGATCTCGTCGCCGACCGCCGACGGCACGCGCACGATCAGCATGGAGGTGCCCACGCGCCGCCTCTCACGGAAGGACAGGGACCTGCTGTCGCTGCTCGCCCTGGAGAGGGCTCTCGTCGCCACGGCGCGGGATTCGCCTCGAGGCTCTGGTCCGAGCGCGCCCTGGGGGGGGTCTGGGGAGCAGCGGCATGTCGGCAGCTTCCCGTCCCCCCTGAAAGCCTCCCCGATACATCGGGCGCCGGCCCCAGCTGCGCCAGTCCTCTCGGCCAGGAGCACAAAGGGCCCCGAGGGAAACGGGCCTGGCTGGAGTTATGCTGCTCCCCTCGTACTTGAGGACCACACCTAAAACATCGGAACAGCGTGGCTAAAGTAGGCTGGAAGATCATAACATAACCCTGGGGTTGCCCGTCGTCTTCCTCCTCCTCCTCCTCCTCCTCCTCCTCCTCCTCCTCTTGTTTTTCTTCCCCCTCCTTCCCTCTCTCCCTCTCCGTCGCCAGGCAGGGCCCCGCGGCGCGACGCGCGCAGGACGGGGGGGGGGCCACCGCCGACCTCCAGGAGAGGTCCGCGCGGACCTCCGGTCTCCTCCCTGCCTGTCCTCCGCCTTCCCGCTGCTTCCTCCCTCAAACCTATTCGTATTATTCGAGTCATCTTGACAGACGCTCTCGATTTTCTGTACTTCACTCGAGCTACAGGACAGCTACAGAGCTGATAGGACAGAAACCGATTCAGAATCATCAGTGGCAGTTGTCTGTTGAATCCGGAGCTCTGAACTCTGCTCTTGCGCGCCGGCGCGCGAGACGGCGGGTGGGCGGCCCCTGGGGTTGCTTTGCCCGCTTCGGGCTCCTGGGGCCCTCCGCCACGGGCCCCACGCGGGCGCGTGAGGAAATGCAGGCCCCGGGCAACAAAACCCCGAGGGTCTAGAAGACCCGTTCGGGCTCCCGATGGGGGCCATCAACCGGGCCCTCCACGGGCGCACGAGGAACAGCCCGCCTGCCCTTCCGTGCCAGACCCCCCTCGGTGCCAGACTCGCGAACGGTTTCCTCATTCGGCGTTTCGGCATTGGGCGGAAGGGGGGGGAGAAAGGGGGGGGTCTGGCTCTGGACCTTTGCTTATAGCGCGACTGATTGCAACAGTGCGTCCTGTGAGGGAGCCTCCACCTGCTTGAGGCAGGCACCGAAAACAGCCAACATCAACTAATTACATAGGGGGAGGAGAGGGGGGGGGTGCGAGGGCCCGCGTCGATCATCAAAACAATAAACAAGAAACGATCACATCCCTTCCTAGACCCCCGGCGTCGTGATTGTTTCACCACGTCGACCCCCAAAGGTCTGAACCCCTTCCCTGGGACTGTTTTTTCGTTCTGATGCGTTTTTTGACGGTCCCGAGGCCCCGTAGAGGCCCCCGGAGGCCGAAAACAGCGAAAAACGTTCCGTTGAGATTTTTTCACAGCGCGAGGGGATCTGGGTTCAAATGCCGAACTCCCTTCTGCCGCACCAGTTTCCCTTAGGGCCTCCCCTCCAGTGGTTCTGCAGAACACCCACCTCGAACTCCGGGACCCAGGCACCCGAAGTTTTTCCCCGACTAGGCTTGCCTACGGGGTTCTTACACAGGGGACACCAAGACTCCTCCTCCTCCTCCTCCTCCTCCTCCTCCTCCTCCTCCTCCTCCTCCTCCCTGTACCTCAGTGCAGGTGTTCCTGCTCCTACACGTCATGCTTCTCCTCCAATCCTGACCAGGCTTGCGAGGCGAATCCAGCGGGAGAAACGCCAGAGGCCCACAAAAGGAGAATCGAGGGGAGGGGAGAGGTGCGGGTGCCGTATCCTCCTCTGACTCTTACTCGGTTAAAGATTGGTGTCTCGGGACCCTTCTGTGCGAATCCGTGCCAATCTCCCTCCGGGCCCTGCCCACCCATGCCGAACTTGAGGTCGGGCATGTCCTCCTACAGGCGGATGCAGGAAGACTAATTTTTAAGTGTCGTACAATATTCGAGACTAGCCGAAAGAGCATGACACATCGTTCCTAAACAATTTCCTTACGACTGTTGCAAAATTCCGCCTGTAGAGGGTCATGCCGGACTTATGCTGAGCTCCCTCCTCCTCCTCCTCCTCCTCCTCCTCCTCCTCCTCCTCCTCCTACTACTCCTACTCCTCCTCCCTCCCCCTCCTCCTCCTCTTCCTCCTCTCCTCCTCTTCTTCTTCTTCTTGTTTATTATTATTCTTCTTCCTCCTTCCTCCTGCTCCTCCTCCTCCCTCCCTCCCTCCTCCTCCACCTCCTCCTCCTCCTCCTCCCCCTCCTCCTCCTCCTCCTCCTCCTCCCCCTCCTCCTCCTCCTCCTCCTCCTCCCCCTCCCCTCCTCCTGCTCCCCCTCCTCCTCTCCTCCTCCTCTCCTCCTCCTCCTCCTCCTCCTCCTCCTCCTCCTCCTCCTCCTCCTCCTCCTCCTCCTCCTCCTCCTCCCTCTCCTCCTGCAGGGCACCGCTGCCCTCAGGGCCCCCCCCCTCCCCTTCGCGCCGCACTCCTGCCGGCCGCGGCCCCCGCAGGAGCCGGCCGGCGTGCGCGCCGCCGAAGGCCCTGAGAGGCAGCTTCTGTTGGCTCGCGCAGCGCGGCGGCGAGCGAGTGGGAGGAGAGAAAGGAGGAGGAGGGGGGAAGAGGAGGATGGAGAGGGCAGAGGGGGGGAAGAGTGGAAGGAGGAGGCGGAGGAGAGGAGGAGGAGGAGGAAGAGGAGGGGTGGGGGGGCAGAGGAGGAGGAAGAGGTGGAGGGGAGGAGAGGAGCAGGACGAGGAGGAGGAGGAGGTGTAGGAGGGGAGGAGGAGGATGGGAGGAGGAAGAGGAGGAGGAAGAGAGGAGGAGGAGAGGAGGAGGAGGATGAGGAGGATGGGGAGGGGGAAGAGGAGGAGGGGAGGAAAGTCGGAAGAGGAGGGGAGGGGGAGGGTGCGGAGGTGAGGGGAGGAGAAGGAGGAGGAGGAGGAGGAGTAGGAAGGATAGGAGGAGGAGGGGAGGAGAGAGGAGGGAGGAGAGGACTGGGAGAGGGAAGAGGGTGAGGGAGGAGGAGGAAGGAGGAGGAGGAAGAGGAGGAGAGGAGGAGGAGGAGAAGGCAGGAGGAGGAGGTGGAGGAGGGGGAGGGGGAAGAGGAGGAGGAGGCGGAAGACAGGATGAAGAGGCGGTATGTATGTGAGGAGGAGTAAGGACAAGGAGGGAGGCGGAGGGGAGGAGGAGGAGTCGCGAGGAGGAGGAGGAATGGTGGACGCGAGATCGGCGGCGAGCGATGGGGGACGTTTCGGGTTCGAGTTTCGACCTATGATATTCCAACCTATTTTAGCCTTGACCGCCAGAAACAAAGTTTCGAGCACCAGAGAACAAACCGAAGCTTCAGGGTTTTCACGTGTCGGGCCCGGGAGGGGATACTCGTTCGGCACTGCTTCGACACTTTTTCTGGGTGCTCGAAATTATTTCTGGGATGTGGTCCTGAAGTGCGCTGGGAGCAACGGAAGGTTCGAGGTTCTCTCCGAGATTTTCTCTTAGGTTATCTGAGACCGTCGTCGGTTCTGGGCGGCTTCGGGGTGCCAGCGAGAAGGAGAAGGCCTTCTCAGAAGGCGGGTCTTCTCAGGAGCTCTCGCGCCTTCTAAGAAGCGTCCTGCGTATTCGGGGAAGGCTTAGAAGACTCCTCAGAAGGACGGGGGACGTCCGAGCCTTCTGATAAGGCCCGCCCCTTCTCAGTTTCTCCCCCAGCTCGCCGACGATCGGTTCTTGCAGGCTTGCTGGCATGGAGAAGTTCTGCGGTAGCTCATGGGGGCCTCGCATGCCATGTTGCTGGCTCTTGCGGCTCGTCGCTCACCGACGCTAGCCGACGCGCGTGGACGCGAATGGAGGATACGTCGACGCTGATTGACGCCACATCGGCGCGCATCGACGCTCTCTCGTCAATTACCAGACGCAAATCGGCACTGCTAGTGCCCTCTAAACTCGGAATTGAGGAGGAGGAGGAGGAGGAGGAGGAGGAGGAGGAGGAGGAGGAGGAGGAGGAGGCGGAGGCGGAGGCAGGAGGAGGAGTAGGAGGGAGGAGGAGGAGGAGGAGGCGGAGGAGTGGGAGGAGGAGGAGGGGGGGAGGAGGGGGAGGACGAGGTGCGAAGGTATACGAGGCCCCGCTGATTTGCTGCCGCGCAAGTCCGCTTGCGTGGAGAAGAAGGGCGGGGGGGGGAGCTCCCCCCCTGGCGGGCCCCCAGAGGGGAAAGCTGGAGACCATCGCGCATGCTCTGCCCGGCCAGTGTGCACCGGACGAGAACGACGAACGAACAGTACACACCCATACTCATACCCATAGGGGGGGTCGTTGGGAGGAGGACTGGCTATGGGTGTGGGTGCGGGTTGTCGGACCCTGGGGAACGCTCCCGCTCGAGCGGGGACCCCATCCGACAACATTCACCAATAGCCCTCTCCGACCCCCCTATGGGTATGGGTGTGTGTTGTTGGTTCGAAAGAGAAGGCGGCGATGGGGGGCGGGGGAGGCACAATGCCATGCGAGCAATCTGACCAGACTCTGACCTGAAGGGACAAGGGACGGCATGAACGGTATTTCTCAGAGGGCCGCGCGGATGTCCATGGATTGGCGGCAGACTTAGGGCGGGCACGTCCCCCTACAAGCGGATTCGTGGACGAAAAAAATCAAAAATGGTAGAAACATCGTCACTAGACTATGCTGTAACTGTTTGTGAATTCTCCTCGTGTAGAAGGAAAAGCCCGCCCTGGTATGCTGAGAAGTTGCCTTGAGCCTTCCCCG